CTCACCTCCACCCTCACCTCCACCCTCACCTTCATCTTCAGCTCTAATCTCACCTCCACCCTCACCTCCACCCTCACCTCCACCCTCACCTCCATCCTCACCTCCATCCTCACCCCTATTCTCACTTCCAAACTCACCTCCAGCCAGTCTTTGTTGATCCGACTGAGGAGGAAGATCACATCTCCAGCTTTGAAATTCAGCTCCAGTTTGCTGTTCCCAGTGAAGTCAAATAGGGCCTAGGGAGAAGCGTGCAGTAAGGAAGAGGGAGAAAACACTCACTCACTGAGTTCCTATAGAAGTGCCTTACATACTTTAGTGTCCCATTTTTACAGATATAGAAACTGAGGCTCAAGGAGAATAAGCAACTTGTCTGAAGCCACCCCATTTTTTAAGGCAGGAGTTGGGATTTGAACCCAGGTATCCCTGACTCCAGGATGAGTGCTCCTTCCAGACCTGGTGGGGCTGGGCACACAGGGAAGGGTTTGAACTCTCTGGACTAAGCACCCACGCTGGTCCCCAGGCTTCTTCGTGGGCTGGGCCTTGTCCGAGTCATCTCTGCAGCTTCTGTGCCTAAGACAGGGCCGACTCAGAGGAGGTCCAGGCAAACTGGCCGGATGAGCGTCTGGATGGAGGTGTTCTCTGGCTCTTCACGCTGGTCACATTTCCCTCCCCTCAGCTGGGCTCGGGGACCCTCAGTGGCAGAGGATGCGGCTGTAGCCCCTTCCTTCCTCCCGGTGCCCAGCACTGTCCCAGACACACAGCAGCGCCCAACAGGAGAGACCCAGTGGTGGCAGGTGGGCCAAGACCGATGCCTGCGGGGTGAGAGCCTGGCCAGCGAGGGTACCTCTGCTCTTGGAGCTGCCAAGCGGTCAATGCCGTTGCCTTGTGAAGACACGCTCTTGCTGTGGAGAGAGAAGACGGGCTTGTGAGCCCTGTGATTCCCTCAGAGCCCAACTTCCTGCTCTGTGTCCAGAGGAGCCCCTTGCCAGGAGTGGGGAAGGCCAGTGGGGGAAGAATGTGCTGCAATGCGGCTGCATTTGCTCCTCCGGGCCGGCAACGTGTCCCCAAATCCTTACAGCCGCTTTGGAGGTGGAACTGTTCTTTACGGATCAGGAAGCCAGGCTCAGAAAGCAGGCGGGGAGGCAGCTACACGCTCATTTGTGCCTTTCACTTTTGTCCGTTTTTCTGCTCCCTACAACCAAGCTCTGATATAAACGTGACTGTTCTAATTTTTCAGCTGAGGAAACCGAGGCTTGGAGAGGTGAAGGGCCTTGCTCTGGGGCCTGTGGCTGCCACGTGGCACAGCTGGAATTAAGACACACCTGCCTGTGTGAACAGGGGAGACGCCAGGCGTGGAGAGGACCCTTGGAGACACTGGTGGGAGAACATGGAGGGAGAAGCTGGTGGGGAGCTCAAGAGCTCCGTCCTGCTTTCCCAGAATTCTTGGTAGCAGCGACCTGGGCCTCGGAAGCCCAGTGGTCTATGAGCAGCTTGAATTTTTGGTAGGAGGGATGGGCTTTTTGGAATGGAGCAGCAGCGTGCCCTGGGGGCCAGTGTGATACAACCAGAGCCACAGCTGGCCCCACGGAGCTACAACACACCAGGGAGAAGGCATTCCCAGAGACGCTTAGGGAATGTTTGTGGATGGAGTGGCACTTCCATCCTCTCTGTCCCCAACTCTTTCCAGGCACCCAGAGCTTCTGGGCCACCCCAGTGATTGCACCAAACTCTCTGGAGTCAATATCCCAGTCCTTGTCCTCCAGTCCCTATTACCACAGTGAAAGGCACACACCCTCTGTCCCTCCAAGCCTGAGCGTGACTTTCCAAACCCATCTAATAAACCAAATCATCCTGAAGCATCCAGGGATAGGGTTGATCTGTATTTTCCTTCTCTCCTTTTGGGGAAAAGAGATGCTTTTCCAGCAGGGTCCCAGAGCTCTGGCCATGTGGGAGCCCAGGGGCTGGTCACTTACACTTTCCGGGTGCGCGGGCGGAGCCGGCGGAGTGCCTGGGGCACCTGCTCCGCGTCATAGGGCGACTGGTAAAAGAAGATCCGGACGTCCTCATCCATCAGCACCCAGACTGGCAGGCTGAGCAGGTTCTGTGTGGGTGAAACAGCAGGACCGATGGGGTGGTCAGCAGAAAGATCGGGACCCTTCAGCCCAGATGCCCCATCCCCAGGCCCTGACCTTAGCCCTCCTCTCTTTACTAATGCATGATGCCTGATAACAGAAATGTATTGTTAAAAAAAAAAAAAGAAAAAAGAAAGAAAGAAAACTCAACATGCTGAAGGTAACACTTCACAAGCTCTGCTCCTGGGTCCAAGGTCAGGAGAGAGACCATGGGCTTGAGAGGAGCCCATTCGGAAAAGACTTAAAGTTCTGCAGAAATAGCAATAATGGTGATGAGAGGTCACATGACCTGGCGGTGACTTTACCAGGTGGATGTCATCTGTATGCCCTTGCCCCATCTCATGACATCCTGTGAGTTAGGATTAGAGAGGTGAAGAGATCTGCCCAAGGCCACACAGCCTAGCAAGGGACAGAGCTGGGGCACCCAGAGCCATCTGCCACTAAAGGCTACCGCACAGCTCAAGGTGAGACAATAGTTGGTGGCATTATAGCCTACAAAATGCTTCCTGATATTTTAATATCATATCATAGTTGGAGAAACTGAGGCTTGGAGAGGGAAAGCACCTGGCCAGGAGGGCTGAGCTCTGGGGCAGGACCTGGACTTGGCCCCAGTGTCCTTGTTCCATCCAAGCTGCTTACACCACCATGATGCAAAGACATTGAAGCTGTGAGGCTGTGAGCACCCAGAGCCTGGCGGGGTCATCTCACCCAGCTCCAAGCACACAGGTCTGGGGACACGGAGGTTGGCTTTGGGTGCTGAAACTCCAGAGGCACCCAGAGCCCTGTAGAGAATCCCATGGGGACAGCAGGATGAGGTGGGGTTGGGGAACTTTGTCCCAGATGAACTGGGGATGCAGATCCCAGAAAAGGCTGTCATATGGGGACAGCCTGGGAGGTGTTTAAAGAGCCAGGGGCTCCTGGGATCAAATCCCAGCTCTGCATGTCACCAACTGGGTGGCTTAGGGCAAACCTGGCTCCAGATGGTCAATAATAAAATGGGGAATAGTAGCCTCTCCCTCGTGGGTCTGTGTGAGAATTAAATGAGTAAACATATGCACAACCCTGAGAACAACACCAGGCATATAACAGGTGCCCATCAGAGTGAGATATCATCATTGTTACTGCCATTTTCATTACAGTGAGGCACAGTGGGTAACCGCTTAAACCCTGGAGTCACAGAGACGTGAGTTCGAATCCCATCGCACCTACTTAACTTCTCTGTCACACCGACTTCACTTCTCTAGCATCTAACTCACAAGTGACTGCGGGGAGTAAATAAGATATTCATTTATCCATCAAGAGCCAACTGGTTGCCAGTCAAAAGTCTTCACACAGTTCCAGGCAATTGTCATTAGCACGTGATTCACATTCTTCATGAAGGCGGGGTGAGACCAGTGGGTAGGACTTACAGAGAGTTGGGGGCTTTTCTCATAGCTGCCCAACAATAGGACAAGCAGCCTGGGTCATAACAGAGTAGTAGTGAGCTCCCCGTCTCTGAGGGTATGCAAGCACAGGATGGGGTTGCCACAGCAAAGATTCCTGCACTGACTGATCTCAGGAACCCAATCGGACACAAAGGGGCAGAGACGGATCCTCTGGGCTGCTGGTTGCTGAGACCAGGTATGGAATGAGGAGCCCCAGTTCCCCATCCTCGCCTCCTACCTTCTCTTCCTCCTTCCCTCCCTCCCTCTAGAGCCCACTCCCTCATTCTAGCCCAGGGGGAGGAGGGTAGCGCCTCAGTCACGCTGAAGGGGCAGTTGTCACCTGCCCCTTTGAGGGGAGACACCACCAGTGCCAGAGCCCACCCAGCTTCCCTCCCTCCCTCTTCCCTGCTCAGAGCCCAAGATTCCTGTAGCTACCTGCTCTCTCCTCATTCCTCCCACCTCCTCCACCCTCCATCTGCTCCCTCCCACCACCAAGAGTCAAAGATCTCTCACATTCTGGAAGCAGGCTCACAGTTTGTAAAGCACTTTCTCATCCTGTTCCTAGCAGATGCCAGCTTCACTCCTGTGATACCAGAGAGCACTGCCCCATTTCACAGGTGTGAAAACCAAGGTCTAGAAGGGATGGGCAACTCACCCCAAATCACCCAGCCAGTCCAGGTCAGAGCAAAGACTAAAGAGACTAGTGTTCTTCAGCCCTGAGGATGCCCCTGGGCTGAGAGGAGGGCTTCCCTTGACAGCTTCCTGAGGTCGCTATCAGGCCTCTAGTCACGGAGCACTCACTGCCACCTCATGAGGAGCACTGCCCCTTTCCTAGATGGCTCTGGCTGGTGGTGGAAGTCCTTTCCTGACCACCTTGGCCTCTGCCTTTAAGATGCTCCTTCTTCTATGCACTTATCTCATAGAGAGGCAGAGTTTGCAGGTCCGAGAATATACAAGGGCGCCCAGCCAAGACCCATGAGTGTAGCTAAAATCCAGCCCATGCTCAGGTGAGGGGGTGTGTTGGACCAGAGAATGCTTTCTCTAGTTTGCACAAAGATGCTATAGGAGCAAGCTGTGGCCTGCTTGGCCACGCCCCCATGATGGAGGCACACATATTCCTCCGTGTGATCTCATGATCTACCTGTTGGCATTTCCATGAAACAGTGGGTACCTCAGGGGCAGGCACTGGATGGAATTCACCTTTGTATTTTAACACCTGGCACAGACTTTCACCTGTGGGCTTGAAGCACTGAATGAAGACCTGTCAGTTCCAAGTGCGGCTCCTGTACCTTCTCCTTTGCTCCCGCGCCTATCCCTAGAGCCCTAACAGAAAAACCCATCCTGTTTTTCTCCCCAGGCTAGGCCTTTAGGGACTGAAGATGGGGCCATCGGAGCCAGAGAGCCAGCCCCAGTTCCGAAAGCCACACCCAGGGATGGTACTTGGGCTCCCCCACCAACACTCCATGCCCTCCCACGTGCCAAGGTGGCAAGGCCCGCTGGTACCTTCATGTAAGCGTTGAGGGCAGGTATCCGCATCTCAGCGATCTCCTGTTTCACACCCACGTAGACTTTGGCTGAGAAGAAGCAAAGAGCTGTCTTAGGAGCCTGGCCCAACATGGCCCCAGGACTCAGAGCTGCCCCTGCAGGCCAGGAATCCTGGCCGGAGCCCCTTCCCGATGGCTGGGCATTCCTCCCTGTTACCTTTTCTGGCACCATCTCCCCTTCCAGCTTTCCTCCCGTGAGCTGTACTATCACCAGCTGATATTTTTCTTGTTTTATTTTTTGTTGTTGTCTACTGCCTGCTCATCCAAACACTCTCTCTCTCTCTCTCGTGCACCCGACTCTTAGTTGGAAGAGAGCAGGATTTTCGTCTGCTTGTCTCACAGCCGTTCCCCCCTCACCCAGGACAGTGGCGACCCTGGCTGCACATTCAAACTACCCAAGGCGTTTGTAAATATCTCACTATGTAGCACTTGCCCCAGAGCAATTAAATCAGAATCTCTGGGGGTGGGACTCAGGAACCAGGATTCTTTCCATCTCCCAGGCACTTCCATATGCCACCAAGGTTAAGAACCATGGGCCTAGAATCATGCCCAGATGAATTAATATTTGTTGAGTGGATGAATGAACAATTCCTCAAGCTCAAGGCAGAATGTTCTGGAAGAAAAGGGAACATGATGGGCGACCGAGAGACAAATGTCCCCTCCAGGAGCCTCCAGGTGGGCGCACTGGTGGAACCATTCACCTAGAGAACCCCCAGGAGGAAGCAGGCCTGAACCCTGCCTGGCTCCTCGTGTCAGGAGACGGACAGAGGTGCTGGCGCTGGTGCTGGTAGGAGGGTCTGGGCTGGAGCTAGACATTTGGGAGTTAGGAGTAAGAAGGTGACAATGAAAGTCCTAGACATGGGTCAGTTTGCCAGGGTGAGTGTTTGGCATGAGAAGACAAGGCAGGGGACAGAGGATGTCCCTTCAGAGGATGCCCACCTTCCAAGGAGTGGCAGAGAAGGTTGATTCTGTAACAGAGACGCTGAAGGAGTCGCCAGTAAGATGGAAAGGGGATTGGGAGACACTGGTGCCTCGGGAGGGCGGAGAAAGCTTAACAGAGGAGTGGGGGTGTGAAGATGAGGCTTGGCATTGCCCACGGAAGCCAGGGTGATGAGTCATGGCCCACCGCACCGAGAGGAATTTCAGTGGAGTGATCAGAGCTAAGCAGCCTGAGGGGTTAAGGAGAGGATGGCAATGCCAAGGTGAGACAGTGCATGCAATGATTGCCAAAGGAAGAAGAAAGAGATCTTTGGGGACCCTGGGGACATGGAGGCTCGGGGAGGCTTGTTGTAAGAATGCTGTTTCAGGGCTCAGAATTGTTTAAAGACAGAAGGGGGTTGAGGCTGTGGAGATGCTTAGTAGAGGGCGTTGGTATATCAAGGGGAAGATGAGT